GCAAAGTCGCGTGAGAAACTAGCATTGAATATAACAACAACCATTACTAAGCGAAATTTGCAAGAGTCTGCCCCTCATATCGTACAAACGAGCACCGGCATGGGAGCCAAAATATGAAAAGGCTAAGACACGCGCCGGGCACGGGGAGTTATGCAGGCCAGTCAAACCCCTTTTACACCTGTTACACGGTATTGTACGCATTAGTATTTACGCAATCATTTTAACGCGTCGGCGGCCTCAGCATGGTTAGGTGCGCGATTCAATTAAATGAAGTGAGGCGCACTGGATTATGGAACGGGGACCACCAACCCACGTGATCCTTGTTAACTTTGTCCTAGCATTGCGGGAGAAATTATATATGTAGTTTCTAAATCGCCTAAGGGTGGCTCCCCGGTTAGCCTGGGTTCGTACGGGACTAGTGTAGATGAAAACTTTGTGCGCGATCTGTTTTGATTGAAAGGGGCTAAACCCAATGCAGATCTGCACTACAATGATCACACAAAGAGGGCAGAGTCTGCTTGACACCAGGGAACAAGTGATCTTTCTAGCAATAGTGTAATATTACAGGTACATCTGATGTTACAACCAAATGTAAGCCCTTTAGGAAGCAACCGGTGTCGGTTGTCTAAGTCGACCCCAAACTTCTACCCCATCACCAGCAAATAAGCTGAGAGTGCCCGGAAAGGGTCGATACCTTCTGTGACGAGAAATGAACCTGAGTTGAGGAGTAATAACTATTCACGAATGCAAACCCGTAAAACCCGAAAGGATGGCTCAATAATGAGGGCTTGGGTGTGAGGGTTGCAGCGATCTTAACGCATCTACTTTGCCCCCCAGTTTCCATAAATTGAGTAAGCCAACTTGGGCTCTTAAATCGCTTGGCGAAGGAAGAGGATATGGCTCCCTTTCTATAAAACGATGCGATTTCAGTAAAATCTGCAGTCTTTCGTGAAAAGGGGGTTGTCAACTGAACAAAACAAAACGTCCACACAATGCATATTAAAGATTATGACTCTTTGTGAAGCACAGTCAAAACGATTGAGAAGGCTAACTCTCGTGTACTATTACGCCACTTAAAAGACCAAATATGAAAGGCTAGAAATAAAAAGCGAGCTTAAAAGCTGTCTCATACTGCTCACGACCCGTGTATAGCCGACTTAGAGATCTAGTAACACCTGACGTTCCCTTCAAGTGAAAATCTTCGGGGGCAACAGATCTTCGAAAAGCAGACCTGTTTCCCTGGTGGGGTTGTTGCGACCGAAACTCGTGGTTCATGACTTCAACCCACCTCTGGTTACCATTGCAGGACCCCGCAACCGTTTTTCGGTAAATGGGACACATATGTGCAAGGAAAACAAGATTGCTGAACGGAATGTTCCGAAACTGAGTTTTTGTTTACCATTTTATAAAATGTTGAACCGACCGGGTAACAAACCTTGGGTCTCCTGAAAATACATCAGGATCCATTCTAACGTCCAAGGCCACACCCCAGGCAGCAGGAAATATCAAAATCAACGAGTGTGGAGCAAGCAGTCTCAGATACTGATAGCAATACAAAATCTAGAGATGCGCACTACAAACATTTTCATCGCTTTAATTTTGATTGTTTAACAAAGGTAAAGAAGGGATATGTCTATCCCGTGGTTCATTCATTGCGAAACGCGTAGAGATCATGCAATCCCAGGGTAAACCAGGTATCAGCTGATAACACATGCCACCTGTAATCTTCGAATAACACACTCCACAAACAACCCGCCGGTGTTGTAACGGACTCGTTCTCTCTTCGACGCTAAAATGAAACAAACTAAGCCCATTGAAGGAGAAAGCCAAAAGCACGGATGGTGTAATGCGGTTGCCAAAGCAGACAGAGAGGTAGATGAAGAATCCAACATCTAAAATTATACGTGTATGCACTCGTCTATATGTGCTCAACTTAGCAGAAAAATTTCACCAGACAAGGTTTGGAACCGAAGGACGACGCAACCACCAAAAGGAGACAGCTGCGTAACAGGCAAATATGTTTTCACAGGTTCCTAACGAGTCACCTTGCCCCAGAGATCTAAGAGCCGAACTTCGTGGCTTTCCAGGGCATACGCTAATGTCACCACCACTCCTAATCTAGGAATTCAATACCCGCGCCTTGACACAACCCAGACCATTTCTAAATATTTGGTCTGGAAAGCAGAGAAACCATTCGTGCGAAAGTACTCACAAAAGAGCGTAGATTAACGAGACCTTTTAAACCATGTACAAAGCTGCCCTCGCAGAATAATGAACTGTATTCGAGAACACTCCACCCAGTTTAAGAGCGACAAAACTTGTCGAAGGGAAAACAACCCCAAATTTAGCAATCATTAAAGAGAAAGAACAATGCTTGTAGGAACTTCCAGTACAGTAGTTTTGTGAACATTAATGAAGAAGTTATTCTGAACGAAACGGGAGCGATCACAACCAGAGACCAAGCCTACCACTCAATACTGAGTTACCATCGAAGAGTGAGGGTACGGATACAAAGTGACATCTAAATCAGTCACCCATATTACTTTGTAAGAATCAATCGCCCCATGTAAGGGAATCAATGACAGTCCTGGATTCTGGATTCCACGCTGTGGATTCCGGATTCCGAGTACTGGATTCCGGATTCCAGCACAGTGGATTCCGGATTCCAAAAAGGGCTGGATTCCAAATTTTTTTCTGTTTTAATGCTTTTATTCGCATTTCGTTTTCGTGTTCGAATCTTGCTGTATTGAAAGACGTTGTTTAGAATGCATAACAGGTTTGTTTTCTTTTTCGATTATAAATTACGTGAAAAAATGTATTACTGTTCCGTAACGGTTTAAGGTATGATAATGAGGGGGGCATTGGGGGACTGTCCACACCGCAACACAACGGAAAAATAACAAACATCGCGTCACCGCAAAAAAACGTGGCGAAACGCCGACATCGCAATTTTAAATTTTGTCCTTCGATTTAATCTAGTCCAAATCTCCATATGATTAGGGATCCCGGATCTCGGAGCTGGTTTAGTGATTAGTAGAGAGTGAGACTGACCTCAAGACTCTATTTTTCACTTACTCATTTTTTGCGAACTCTATTTTCAGCTATGCAGATAGAAAAATGCTTAATTAGCAGAAACAACAGAACTCTTGCAAATAATTCCTAAATATTCACGTTTATTCATTTGATTGCTACATAATAAAGTATTGGCAAAAGGTACAGTCATTGCCAGGGAAAATAGAGCTGCAATTTGCAAGAAAACGGCCTAACAAAGTTCGTGCGTATAACTCCAAATCAATTTTTCCTATCTATGCCATATCATAAACCAGCGAATGGTTAATCAAGTCTTTTGCTATCCACTAATAATATATTAATATAATAGAAGGTTCATTTTGTTTGTATGTCGTTACATTCGTAGTTTTCATTGTCCTGTCCGAACGCCTGGAACAGGCTACGTCCAATCATTCAATCATGTTTGCAAATTCTTTTGGAACATTAAAACAGTTCTTTTTCTACTTTTTATTAGAATCATTGTTATAGCGCAAAAAACTAAATTCGGTTACCGCTCTTTTGTAAAACTTTTATTTATAGAGACACAGTAAGCTGTAGAACAAGCTTATTTATAGATATCACTTCTTAACTGAATTGCTTTCACACTTTCCCATATGACTCGTAAGACACGAATTTTAGCCAAATACATAAAAAAATACACTTCTCCTAGGACGGGATAAGCATATATACTCAGTAAAAGGTTGACAATCAAAAAGAGTACTACAGAAGATTAAATTGAACTTCAAGCTGACAAAAGTGGTGTCCCGGTCAGCGCGGCCCTAAGTGACTAAAGTTTACTGTGTCACATAATTACCTAAGAATGATAACATAGCTCAAAATAAATTTCGGGCTTTGGCCGGACCACGTTGATCCACTAAATACATTTTTACGCTGTCACGTCTCGACGTTTTTGACTGGTCAAAATAAAGATAAAAAGTCATTAACTCTTGACAGTCTGCAAGCCCAAAACTATCAGTTACTTGGTCTAGTTGTTGCTGAACCATTTAAATCGAGTTCAAAAAGTGGCTTAATAGACATAACGGCTCAAAACGTAGTCAAAGATAGCCTGATTTGCCAGCGTTCAGTCAAAACTGTAGAGCTGAACTTGTTTGTTCGTTACTGACTTACGCTACGCAAGCATCCTTGCTGGACAGCATGCGAGAGCAAACCACCCCCTCCCCCCTCGCCCTAGAGGTCAATGAAATCCCTTATCTCGTACCCAGATCTCTTGTTGACGAAGCCAAAGGCGAGATCTGGCCTCAGTTGTCGAGTTGAATTTGATGTTAAAAAGATAAGAAAGAACACAAAAACTAGTTGGTTCATACTTAAGATGTGCGAATAACCACGTTTTCATAGAAAAAATTTCACGGCTCTATCAAATTCGTTGTTTAACATGTCAAAAATTGAGGATTAATTTCAAGCATACGCTCTTTCATGGCCTGTCACATTCCTGAAAGGCAAACACGGGTACAAAAATCGGATTTGACCAGATCTCGCCTTTGGCTTCATCAAGAAGTAAGAGATCTGAGTGTGAGATTATGAAATCCCTCGCGAGTTTTATTTCATATTAGCGCGTTCTAGGTGGCTCTAGGATCCATTTCAAAGAAAAAAAATACGGGCTAAACCGATCTCAGATCGGTCTAATTTCTAAAAGCGACCTCAATGTGAACGAGGCCTAATCACAACTGTAGATCGAGAAAACATGAAAAGTCCGTCTGATCCTCGATCGAGTTCGAGATGACTGAGAGATCGAGAGAGACCTGCGCGTTTCTGACACGTGGGCCCGTTTTAAGCGTTTAGCAATGTATACGATAATTTCCGCAAGGACGACGTAAAATTTAATGCGGTCGGCTTGAGACTGTATTCTCTTAAAGCTTAAGTACCCGAGGAACCTATTCAATCTGGCTGTCAAACAATTCGTAGATTCCAAGGTAGTAGACCAGCAGTAAATTCCATCAACCGACACGACTCCAGCCCCCATCAGAGTTGTCATACCATTTAAAGATCAGGTCTCTGCTAATATAGTGAAAAAACGTCTCACAGACCTCAGCTTAAAAATCAAGACCACTATTCAGCCCGTGTTCATCAGCAGAAAACTCAACGAAGACCTTAAATTTCGAGAAGTCAAGCCAGCCATTGTTAACCAACAATGTTTAGTTTATCAATTTCAATGTAACCAGTGCGATGCAGGATATGTTGGTTACGCTCGCGGCCACCTCCACGAACGCGTTGATGGACACAAACACAAATCGTCGTCAATTTACAAACATTATTTCAGCGAACATAACTCGGACGTACCACCTTTTGGTTTAGAACAATTTCACGTGCTCACTAAAGGTTGTAAAAAATTTGATTGCCTAATTAAGGAAATGCTCTTTATAAGAAAACTCAAACCATCCCTAAACGTGCAGGCGGACTCGATTCGCGCAAAGGTATTCACTTGAAGAACTTGTGATCCTTTGTTACACGTATGATTGCGAAAAAAATCAATCAGCGGGCTTAAAACTATAAACTTAACGTTTCTTTAATTTGTTCATGATTGTGACTTGCTTGCCGCCACGTTCACGTTTTAGGTGCCGCACCTAAAACTCCCTTTCCCTTCCCTTTCAAACGCCTGCCACGCAGGCTACGTTCAGTACAGTCCACAGATCGACACAAACGAAAATCATGCAGCTTTGCCTTTGGCACGTTTACATCTATCGCAGTCAGCTAAAAATTGGTATAAAATTTCACAACACAGTATTAGAAGTACCTTTCTCTCTCAGCCTTTTGTTTTTGCTTGTGCTTTCCAATAACAGTAGAAAAGAAAAATCCAACAAACAACAAACTTCAAACTGGTCTGATCGAGGAGGTGGCGAGATTCCACTCGAATGCCGGGGGATGAATGAGAAAGGCACCCACCGCGTACTTGCACGTGATTACTTTAGTGACAGCTGATTGGTACGGTTCTGACAGTTCCTGGATTATTTCTCAAATAAAGATCATCGAAACTCCGAGGACCAAATTAGGCACTAGGGGACTGTGAATTTCTTTTTTTTCTTTTTAGGTAAACTGTAGAAAGTAGACGTTTATTTTCATTTGTGAACCAGGAGGACCAGGAAGGTTCAAGAAAAGGTTCACCCCCGGGGGGGCACTTGGGTATTTTTTGGGTGGGTATGTGCCGCCCGGGACTCCAAATTGGCACCCCGTTCTAAAAAAAATTTCCGCTAAAATTGATACCCCGTTCTAGAAATGGGCCAATTGTTTATACTCCGTTCTAGAAAGTTTGTAAATTGAAATAGCCCTGTTTTTTAAAAAGATATTTCTTTATTTGTTCGACTTATACATCAAATAAATGCTTCTTCATAATCAGCAACAATTTTAAGCAGAACATAAAGCCGCGATACACAATTTTTTACACCCCGTTCTAGAAAACGCCTCTGAAATGGATACCCCGTTCTAAATCAGGAGCTTCAAAATCACGACCCCGTTGGGCGGCACATACCCGTATAGGTAATGTATGGGAGTAACCCCCCCGGGGTTCACCCCAGGTGCACCTTTCCTGTCCTATGCCAGGTTAAAAAGCTCGCATAAAATCGCTTTTGATTTTTTAAAGTTCAGCGAAGTGAGTGAACAACAGAGAATCCAACATAGTCAGAGGTCGAAGTTATTCATAACAATTCAATTTAAACCCTAAAAAGGCTGGGCTGTGTTCCCTTGAAACCTCCCAATTTTGTGATCCTCCCAGCCGCTCATAAGCAAGGGTTCCCTCGCTGTTATATAATTTTAATCATGTGGCCGTGACCTCGACCTTTCTTATGGAGCTCGTGGACTATTGTTTTGACACCAGATATACCGATATTATGTCGTCACGTTCAGGTCTATACCCTCGGGAGGCTGTCCATAGATTAGCCTCCCCGCGGACGTCCTTTGGGGTTCGTTCGTCACGCATTCATTTCTACCCCACGGATGGTTTTTCTTACGAGCGAGTAGCTCAATTTCATCTGGAGGGGATCTTTAGTAAGTTGGATTCCGGATTCCAATCTTTAGTAGGATTCCGGATTCTTAGTGCTGGATTCCGGATTCCAAAGCCCAGGATTCCGGATTCCAGGAGCAAAAAATTCCTGGATTCCGGAATCCGGATTCCCTTACATGGGGCGAAATCAAAATACAGCTAATCGAAAAAACTTCCACAAGCGGTAGTAAGTGTTACCTTAATTCACAAATATAAGAACCTGGTGAAACGTGCCAACACATAAACCTGAAAACTTGTTCTCTTTGGCTCTAGCGTCCCCAAGAAGACAAAAGGGCGAAAAACTTTTACCGCATACATCCCAAATACGCCCGGATTGCTCCCAACTCAATGAATCGGTCAGTCATGCACCAGTGACAGGCTGTGAACACCGTTACTTAAAAGGTGACTATCGAAGACCCCACTCAGTGCTTCTGCGCCCCTATTTCTTATGCCCAGGTATAAGTAAACGGGCCCGATGATATGGGCCGATATAAGCCCTAAAGATATTATCCTTTCACTCAGTGGCCATTTTCCCCGAACTCGGGTTTACATCCAGAGATATTAAACATGTCTGAATCTGCTTACTCTCAGTAACGTTAAAGGCACAAATATCGGCGATTCTTCACCGAGAGTTACCGAGAAGAAAACGATCAAAAGATGACAAATCGTAAAGAGACTGCAAACCCGAGCTCGGAGAAAATGACCACCATAGCCCGAGTAATCGGGCTCAAGGGAATGCCTATAGGCAAAACGCTTGTGACCACAGAGACACCAGAAAAACAAGGTATTTCAAAATAGTGCCTATATGCTTAAATTTGTCGATAAACCCAACGAAACGATCAAGTATATATGGCAATCACGGTAACCAGGCCTCCTCCGCCCGTTCCTCTGGGCAAGTATGCTAAATATGGCCCGCTTTAAAGCACAGTTCAACCATGACTTTCCGCTGTCCAACGGTATGGAGTACCGATCTGTGCGCGTCCGTCCCAAGAACGGTCCTCGTTTTGTTATTTGAAACAGCAAAGACTTCTAGACTCCCTCCCAAACCCCTTTCGAGTTGCGTTCTTTTCTACCTTGCAATGCATTATTTATACCGAATCGAGGGATAGCGATACACATCTCTCTCGGTCCACGACCGATCATTTTTTTTTTCCCTTTTTTCTTTTTTAACGCCATCCCGTGGTACAGAGCGATACTGCTCTCTCGGTCCGCGACCGATCTCTCTCCTTTTTTTTTTTTTTTTTTTTTAGCCACCCCGTGGCACAGAGCGACCCCGCTCTCTTGGTCCTCGACCGATCCTTTTTTTTTTCTCAACGCCACCCCGCGGCACAGAGCGACACTGCTCTCTCGGTCCACCATAGCCCGCGTAGCAAGCGTTTCCGTTCGGTTTAGGAGCAAAGAACGAAGAAATGGCGCAAGTAAAGAGCGGGAAGGGGGCACCCCGTGCACAGAGCGACGCCGCTCTTGGACCGCGACCGATGTTATTTTTATAATTATTATTATTACCTAAGTGTTCAAAAATATAAAATAACTGATTTACCAAATATCCAAGAAAACAAGCACAACTACAATAACATAATAGTGCACAACGCACGATTGGAGAAAAAAAAAAAGAAAGACGTGCGAGAATAAAAGCGAATAAATTACTCCGCACGTGCTTAAAGCACGAAAATAAAAACTGGTTTCCCAGCACTGGTCCAAACAAACTAAATGAGAATTAAAACAACCAGCAAAAGACCAAACATAAGGTTCCCTAGACCAATGCAAATCCAACAACGAAAACAGAAAATACCTGGGCGTTCTGTCGAGTTTAGTACATCAGACGTGGTGGAATTTTCGCAGTTCGAATGTCTATCATCTTCGCCATTCTTCGGCTGCCGCCAAGCTTGCAAAACAGGTTGCGATGGATGTCGACGAAGTTAAAGTCGAGCAAATAAGTGGCACGAGCCGAGCCTTGAAGAAGATGAAGAAACATTTCTTGGACCATGACTCGAGCATTCGACCTCGTGGGGACGGACGCGCACCCGAAACGGTGAGGCGACCCCAACTAAAGTTAGTCAAACTGACAACTGTGAATAATTAACACATGCTTATATACTATGCGCGAAGTCTATTGAATATTAGTAAGGTATAAATAGATCGATCTAGATAGACGTCATGATAACAACCAGAATGATATTAAGGAGGTGAAAATACCGTTTTTGCTATCTATTGTCCAAGATGTGGCAAGTTAAAGCAAAAGTGACTTGAATTCTAGCACATTTGATCTTCTTTTAACTTATAATCTTTGCCACGTTAATCCGTGCTCGGGAATGAGCCAGTGTCAGGTGGGGTTCACCGACAAAGGTTACAGATGCGTCTGCCAAGAAGGCAAAGAAGACCAATGTTACGGAGGTATATAATAGACCACTCCAGAAATACCATAGCATACCATAATGCTCTTTGTTTGTCACTCCAAAATTTTGCATAAGCATTGTCTTCAGTTTCTCTTGGGAGTTAAAATGGCCCCAAGAGAAACTGAAAACAATGCTTATGCAAAATTTGGGGTGACAAACAAAGAGCATTATGGTATGTCATGGTATTTTCTGGAGTGGTCAATGACAACATGCAGTGATTATAGAGACTCTTGGGCCATCGTAGTTTGATCAAAAATAAAACACAAACAGCGGTGATAAACATTGTGAGTTTTCGCATTTTTATAAACTTGACGTTTCGTATGCTATTCAACATACATCTTCAAAAGTGATCTTAAGTGACCGTTAAAGAAAATGACGACACTATACAAAAAATTACAAAAGGTCTGGAAATGAGATTAAGAATTTAAAAATTCCTAACAGTAATAAATACAAAAGGCAACAGCTACTAAAACATCAGCTCTTCACTGCTGATGTTGACATTAAAAGCCCGCTAAATATATAGTCTCGTCATTTCCTTAAACGGTCACCTAAGATCACATTTGAAAATGTATGTTGAATAGCATACGAAACGTCAAGTTTACAAAAATGCGAAAACTCACAATGTTTATCACCGCTGTTTGTTTGCGTGAGAGTGTGTGTTTTTTTTAATGCAGTGATTAGTTTTGTTTGTTTGTCTGCTTTGATTGTTCGCAGGGTACTTGCCCCTGCGTAAGTCAAGGTTGTGATAAAGATAATCATGTCTCATAATAAAGCAATCAATTAGCTCGAGAAAACAGAATTTCACTAATCTGCTTTATTGCTAACACAGAATGTGAACGGGCTCTGGGCATGGAAAACGGCGCCATTTCCGATCACCAAATCAGTGCGTCCTCCGAGTATGAAAAGATTATGAATCATAAGGCGTTTCAAGGTAGACTGCACTTTGAATCAACTCCGAGTGAAGCTGGTTCATGGTCTGCTGAAATAACTATTGCTGATCAATGGCTCCAGGTTGATCTGGGTACTCCACACACACGTATCACAGGTGTAGCAACACAAGGCAGAACTGATATGAATCAATGGATTACGAAGTACTAGCTTCGGTACACAGACAATAGCACGGCCTTTCAGTACTACAAGGAACATGAACAAGTTGAAGACAAGGTCAAAATCATTTGTTACAATTAACATTGTCTGCCATAGTAAAATGTATATAAAGCCCCACGTACCCCTTTGGTTTGGTCTACTACAGGCGGCAGTACAGGAGAGGGGGGGGGTTGACAGTCGTATGAAGCATCACAACAGGTGGTAAACTACGTACAAAAACGACGTAAGGCGATAACTGAACTTATTACCATAGCCGGCTGTCATATTTTTTAGGTGTATGCGTTTGCTCAGATATACTAGTAGTATACACGCAGTGTCAAGTTTAACATTTATGCGCGTTTACCAAAAACAAAAAATACGACAGTACAACTATCAATTTAAACTTAACCGCAAGACATACATAGTTAAATTCTAAACAACACAGCAGACTTCGTAGAGTTTTTTTTAGATGCGCGTCACTAAAAATACGTTCCTTTTTTATCGTGAATCGGGACTGATTAATGGAAATGAGATAAGCTAAAAGGCGAGAAGAATATGGATAGAGATCAGCTTGTCAAACATCAACGATCATATTTTAAAATATCATAGTGATATTCACTAATAAAGAGATAAAGACCATAGAAATGACGCAACGAAATATTGGCGCGGTTTCTTATCCGTCTCTCACACGCGATTTTTTCCAAGAAACTCTTGAAACAGAAAGTCTTCGATGTTAATCCAAAAGCAAATAACCCACCTAGATTTTCCGTGATCTACTTTTATGTAATAACGAAATGACATTGATATATGAACACAATGGAAAACATTGGTCCATTCTTTTCTCAATGTTCTTACTCAAGGTGTTTACTGGGAATACAGACCGTAATATTGTTGTTTGTCGTAAATTGAACAAGCCAATCAGAGCACGCTACGTCCGTGTTCATCCAATAGCGTGGCATGGACACATATCAATGAGAGTGGAGCTGTTTGGCTGTAATTATACGAGCTGTAAGGCTTGACTTATATTAAAGTGACAAGATGGAAAGTCTCTTTTCGTTTTTGCCTTGCGTAACTCAATGATTGATTGATTGATTGATTGATTGATTCTTTATTGTGAGCTACAACTATCGTTGACTTTGCCTTTAGTGCTACGTTATTAAAAAAAAAAAAAGATAACATTAAGTTATGTATTTTAGCCATACGGGTTTTTTACCGGTATATACATGTAATTCAAGGCTTTTTCAGCTTTCAACTTTTTATTTGAATTCACAAACAAATTACAAACCATACTGCTTGAAAGAGACCGCTCTGGTGAAGAACTTGCAGAAATCTTGCACAATCATGACCTTTTTCTCTTTCCTCTTTTTCGTCTCAAAATATGTATACTGCATCATAGTAATAATAATAATCGTCTCTCTTCGCACTAGTGCATCATCATAATAATAATAACAATAATAATAATAATAATAATAATAAATCATTATCACTATCATGTGACGTTGCTTTTCCACCACTTAACTAGTCACGCAATGTTTTCGAGTAGTATACTATGATGGTATCTCTAGTGAGAGTTTTCTTAGTATTATACCTACTAGTGAGTCAGAGAGGAATGCAAAACTCATCGTGTTTAACTTTGATTTTCAGTTCTGTTTCTTGCACTCCATAAGACCTCTTTTAGTGGGATGTTACTAAAACGGGGAACGGGGAGCGGGGAACGGGGAACGGGGAACGGAAGTCTGGGAACGAGTTGTCAGCGGAAACCTCCATAAAAATCCAAAATGGCCGGTAAGGATCAACGACCCGGTAAGATCGATGATAGAGAAGCGTCGAAACAACACTTAAGGTCGCTATTTTACTAATGAACTATATGCTCATGAGGTGCTTGAAATAATACGGAGGTAATAATGTCATGACATTTTTCACCTTTTTGCGTTTTACTAAACAACAAAATATGCTCCAACAGCAGTTGAAAGAAGCTACAGTCGGGACAAAAACCCTCAAAGCACAGCCATATTTGGAACTCAAGCGAATCTATACTGGGTCTAACTCACAAAGCAATGAACTACTTTTGCTTGACACTTTTCGTAGGGTTTTGGCTTAAATACCTGCTGAAAGATAGCGTGGATCGAAGCAGCCAGGTGTATTTCCTCGACAGTAATAGTGTAGCAGTGGAGCTCCTTCTTAGCTGTAGCGTTTTTTCAAGCCCAAATTAAAACATGTTGGCGATGAGATAAAACTGGAAGTCTAATAATATTATATTTACAATCCTATGATGAGAAGTAAGTGCAATTGTATTATTTGAAAAGATAAGATGGATCAGGTTATTTAATACATCAATAAAAGGCAACTTTAAACATATTAACGGGCAATGTGCCAGGAACATCAGTCATACCTTGGTCTTAGAGATATCAGTTGTTTCAAAGCAAATGGCTATGCTGTGGTTTTATTTAATTATAACCTAGGTTTAAATTTTGCTTCCCTTTGTTTGGGGGTACGGTAATATGAATTTTATGATTATGAGTTCAAAACAAAGAGAATAAAATTCAAACTTAGGATAAAAGTGAACCACAACTGAGCTGCAATATTAAGTGTTGCAAGTATACGTGGGGGAAGTACTTTGAAGTCTTTGGTTGGAAGGTACTTTCTAAAGGCTAGCTGTTAAAATATGCATGGTAAGTATACTTCCTCTGTTTAGCCTTCTGGATGCTTTTTTTTTTCTAGGGGCACTCCTTTAATGTTTTTGCAGAGGGGAGCTCTGCTTCTCTTTAATGAACATTATTTTTGCTGTGGAGAAAAATATTTCAAGCTCAGTGTAAAACTGAATGTGTCAGTGACTTAAACCAGTTAATATTGTCAAGCTGCTTTATTAGCTTGATTCAGTAATATTGCAGTGCACCTACCATCAAGCATCACATCATCAATGTTGCAGAGGCTGGCAGCTTATTAGAAGGTGGTTGATAAGCCTTCAAACAAGCTGTCTGTAGTTTTGGAAATAAAGAGTCTAAGGTCTCACACAAGTGATGGGACGCAAAAGATTAGAGTGCCGATATGTTTTTCAGTAAAAACGCGCAACTGTATGTGTATAGTTTCCACATTACGCTTACTCAATGTATGTAGAATAACACAATAGATCTTGCTACCCATTTTCCCTGATTTTATTTCCCCTCCAGGGGACATAATTTCTTTTAACATATTGGGGTTTTCAAAAAAGGGGCAAGAAGCTTTTAAATGAATTTTAATTCATTTAATGAAGGGGGGGCTTAGTACTCACCAAAGAGGCTCTGCCCCAGGGACCAACCCTTTACCCTTTGTATGTACCATTTTAGACAGAAAAGGTACCCGTTTTGTATACCCTCTTGTGACAAATGGTACCCCTTTCACATACCTAATTTTAAACGCTGCATCCCTTTTTAACTGCTGTAAATACACCATCTTTACAAAAACAGGTTTTCTTGTCTCTCACATCCATAAAGTGCATCTGTGACTGATCTCATTTTGGTCCCTTTCATATACTTCAACTATAAAAACCCCTTCCCTTTCATGTACCTGAAGCCTGAAAAAGGCTTCAGGCTCTGTTTAGGCCATTATAGTATACCCCCTCCTCCTGCACCGAGAACAGTACTTGATACAGCGATATTGTATGGTATGAATTGCACCAAACGTTTCGTGCCCATGAAGAGGTACTTTGATTATTTTACGACATTTTTCTTCAAAAGGGAGGAGTTTGAGATCTCATTCTTAGGGGGGCGGGGGGTTAATTGAGGATCTGCAGTGAGTGAGAATGTTGCATTCAATGCCATCCAATGGTTTTGATTCAGGAAAGGGTCGTCAGGGGTATTTCGCAGAAAGACAAATGGCCACTGTACGACTTTGAAGCAGTTACTGATTAGGGTGAGGAAAATGAGTGAATTAGGTTCCATTAGGGTCATTATACTGGTCTATACTGGGCAAACTGACCTGAAACAAATTGTTTCTCAAAATAATAAAATGATATTATTTTATTTTCATGGATCAGTGAAACACTTCAATATCATGAATGCTTGCAGTGTAGTAGATCTAATAATATTAAAAGCAGAACCAGATTGTTAAAGTAGTCTTACTAATTATGTGATGACGTGGTCAATAACATTTTTCAAAGCAGTCATCTCTATCAAAGGAAATAGAAGAAGTTTGCACACAAGCTTCTTGACTACATCGATGTATGTTATCTATCATGGAAAAGTAGTTAATTGCTTTGTGGGCTAGACTCAGTATAGATTCGCTTGAGTTCCAAATATGGCTGTACATGTGCTTTGAGAGTTTTTGTCCCGATTGGCTTTTTTCAACTGCTGTTGGAGCACATTTTGTTTCCTACGGATAATTGTTTAGTAAAACGCAAAAAGGTGAAAAACGTCATGAAGTTATTACCTCCGTACCGTATTATTTCAAGCACCTCATGAGCATATAGTTCAAGTAAAGTAACGCCGTTATTGGTTAAGTTTGTTTCGACGGTTCTCTATCATCGATCATCGGCCATATTGGATTTTTGTGGAGGTTTCCGCTGACAACTCGTCCCCAGACTTCCGTTCCCCGTTCCCCGCTCCCCGCTCCCCGTTCCCCGTTTTAGTAACGTCCCTTTTAGTGTGCTTTGAAAACTCGCAGCTGTCAATGAGTGCACGGTGGCAATTTGTAATAATCCTTGCACTTTGTAATAAACTATGTGGTAATTCAATAATAAAAAATGCTGTCTAAATTTGTAATTGTCCATCGCACTTTGTAATAAACTAAGCAGTCGCAATTTGCACTGCGAACTTTGCAATACGCTTCAATTATTTTCTTTGGTCCATCACAAATTTGTCTAACTTGGACAGGACAATAAAAGGCAATGAATTGATCAAAATTAACGTACGAAAAACGCTTGTATTATTCTTACATATTTCCATCAATTTTAACCACAAAGCCATTAAACTGACTGAGACACTTGGCATGTTTCCAATTTCATTAATGGGCTTACTGTTTGTTACTGTTTTTGA